ACTATTATATAATTATTTCCTTATTTATGAAATTTAATGAGCCAATGATTTTCTTAATATAAATTTAACATTAGAGTACTTGTCATTATAAATGTGGATATTTGTGGAAAGAGTCATATACTATTTACTAACACATATCTTTGTTTTGTTATTGCCTTATCTTTTATACAAGTTTACGATTTTTTGTAAATTTCATCTTATGCAATAACATGGATTAATTTTTTTATATTTTAATTTAGAAAATTAATTTTCCTCTTTAATAAGTGAGAAAAATAAAAGAAAGGAGGATTGAAAGGAAAACATAAATATCAGCAGAATTTAGAAATATAATTCTTAACGCCCTTTCCTTTCTGACTACTTAAAATAATATCATTGGCATTTCCCATTATTTATTGGTCTTCCAAATATAGTGTCTGGCCTTAAAAATTGTAATTCAAAAATCTTCCATCTGAACAATAGTGTAACTGAAATAAGTTTAAAAGCCGTGTAACATATGTAATTTAGCATTCTCATGAAATATCAGGATGCTGTTAACAAGGATCAGAGCAAATGGAAAAAAAAATAATGTGTATGACCTCTGAAAACTTTATCCTGTGAAATCAGAAGCAAGGGACTATGATTCTTATTTCAAATCTATGTTGCATAAAAGTCTTTTGAGATGGAAAAAATATTCAGGTGTTGCTCATCTTATGTCTTGTATGTTTTGGTAAAACATTTCATGTTCACCTTTTTAAATATCTTAAGATACATTCACTGACTAGAATCAACAGGAGAGAAAAGGGTGACCCTACAAGTAATATGTTGTCTTGGTGTGTTGCTGATTCTGGAAAAAGGCTTGAGAACCATTGCGTAATGGTTAGGAACATGGATTCTGTAGCGAGAGAACATGGGTTCAAATTCTGACTACTATTTTCAGCTGAAAACTCAATGTGTGTTGCAAATTATTTAACTTTTTGGTGCTTCAATTTCCTCATGTTCAAATGGGGATGATCACAGTATCAACTTCATCAGGTTGTTATAAGAATTAAATGGTTTTATAGTTCTTGAAATAGTGCCTGACAAAAAGTAAGCACTGTGTTATTATTATGGTTAACCTCCTCCTAAAAATATGTTTGGCAAATCACTTTGTAAATTTTGAACTCTTAGGTTATCTTTTAATTTAAAATCTTTTGTATAAAACGTTAGCTTATTGTTGAGCACATCTGTAAAGTGAAACCAGAATATTCATATATTAATTTGATAAATGAAGCTAATGCTCACCATAAAGATTTTTGAAATATTTTATTATAGTAGGACAGAATCTTTGGGGAAGGAATCTTCTACATAT